CGAATTGCTCGGTTTGTGCGACCGAACCATTATAAATTCTTATAGTTCGGTTCAGAGGACCGAACAGTTCGGCTGAGAAGACCGATTAATTCGGTCGCGTGTACCGAACAAAATCGTGGTTCCATATGATTCTAACTAGTTCGGATTTACCGAACTTTTTTTTCAGTGCGCTCGGCGATTCGGCATCGCGTTTTCGAGGATGACCGGGCAGGGGGCGGAAGCGGAAACTCGGGAGCTAATGCGGAGGATAATGGGAAGCGGAATGACTCGAAATGGCGAGAGGACCGGGAATATATTAAAGAGCAGCGGGGAGGAACGCTCCGAAAAGGCGACAACATGTAGCTGATCTCCTTCCTTTCGTAGGATCTTAAATCCCTTTTTTTCCCGAGTCCCCGCGCGGAGCCGTAAAGGCTCCTTGGGCTCGCGCGGCAGTCAACAAGTTTTAATTTTAACGAGCGCTTAGCATGTAAATTGAATCGTCCGCCCCATCCGAGTAAAGCCCCGGCCGAATTTCCCGGATGCCCCGCGCGTTAAGAATCCGCCCCGATTTGAATATTCCTCCCCCCTTTCTCAACCCCCCTCCTCCGTATGAGCGTTCCTTTAGTCGCGTGGCATTTTCTGAAGAATAAAATGGGTTTGAAGCGTTCATGAATGCAATATAAAAAAAAATATGATGTAAGGAAAATATGTTTTGCCTAAATTGTTTTTCCTATAGCAGTGTCTGAAAGAATTCGATCCGTCAATCGTTAATTTCTGCATTTTAAGAATTTATTTTTAAAAAGAACGTCTGATGTTCATATCATGCTGTTGCACGTGAAGTATTCTTGTAAACATTTTTACAAGAGAACGAAGAGGGACCGAGAGGGCAAGAAGGAGAGGTCTTTATGTACGAAACAACTCTTCTTTTCGCTCTAGTTAAAGTTTTCAACAGGCTATTTTCTTCAGGATAATTTTTTGAGGATTTAGATTTAGAAATTTGCACGAGTATCATTACAATTTCAGAAATCGTCTTGTAGATGAGTCGTTTTCACAGCGCTCTCTGGCGCTCTGCGATGCCTAATCGCCACAAAACTTGGTCCTCCCACAACCCGTCATGGAGTTGGCACTTCCTCATTTCCTTTAAACCCCCCTGTCGCCATCTCTTCACTGGGCATCCCCTTCGTCTTCTTTCAGGAGGAACCCAATCTAGCATCTTTTTTGGCAGCCTCTTTTCCGTCATCCTACTAACTTGACCGCACCAGACAAGCTGTTTTGTCATGACGGCGAGCACGATGTCACTTTCAAAAACGCATATTTCTTACGCATATTGTAGTGTTAGGAGTGTAGTGGGATGTATTTCTATCGAACAGAACTATGTGCATTAAGACATGACCCCTGCGACCCATAAGAATATGTGCATAACACGGCTCACGCCATAATGCACATAGTTCCGTTTGATAGAAAAACGTCCAATTCAGACTATCTTGATGCGCTCATCGTGATTTTTAAGGCATTTTCTTTAAGATGAACATTAAGAAGAACACAGCTCTTCTGTTTGTTCTAAATGATGTTTGCAACAGGCCCATTGGAATCGTTCTCCTTAGAAAGTGCTGCAGACTCCTCTCGAGGTACCAGAAAGGTGGCGATCGATACTACCCGGGGTGACCGATAGGTCCGTTTCCGTCCGGGAACGGGCGCTGCCGCAGGGGCGAGGAAGGCGGCGTCTGGAATCATAAGAGGACGATTTAAGCGTTCAATTGCCCGGAAAACTGTTTGCATTAGCCTCGCGAGTCGAAAGACAGAAACACAGGCGCGCTGATTTATAGTTATAGACGCGGATTTGTCTGGAGAGAGGGGATAAAAATAAATAAATAAAACCGAGGAGATAAATAAAAACGCTGCCAACCAGACGCTTTATCGCCGGGTTACGGCGGCGAAGGAATATTGTTTCGCTCTCCTCCCGTGTAGCCCGGTATGAGTGAAGTACCCTCATAGAGAGAGACGATATTCCCGCTTTGTCTTAATACTGGGTCTGGTGGATTCACCGTGTCTGGGATATGGGGAGACCGGGAGAATAGCGGGCTCCATCTCGGAATGAAAAAAAAAAATCGGTCATGTGAACTGAACGTTCGGTGTTCCATATCATCCCAAATATTCGGTTTGTCAAACTAAGTTTTTCAAACGTTCGGTGTTCCATATCATCCCGCAATTATTCGGTTTTTCAAACTGAGTTTTTGGTTCGTGCAACCGCACGTTCGGCATATATGTACGACCATGCTTAGTGTTTGTCAGTTCAATTTACCGCACAAGTTCAGTTACACGAACCGAAAGTTCGGTTTGACGAACCGAATTAGCTGGGCTGATATGGAACACCTAACTTTGGTACATACGACGGAACTTTTTTTTCAGTGCGGAATGAAAAGTGTTCGGAAAAATTGGGGAAAGTTCCACTGGAAAAAAATGTCTGTCGGTTCTGTTCGATTGTCTGGTTCTATTCGACTGTCTGTGCGATTTGACTGTTGATTCTGATTTAAAAGTTCGCGAGAAACACGATGGTGCCACTGATTTTTTTCTCGGAAATCAACTCCCAAGCTCGAAAAAAGCTCCCAAGTTGAGGCCAAAATGGAGGGGATATCTCACGCTATCCTGAGAGCCCACCTCTACATCAAGACAAACTCTCCATATACAAAGATAGGGAGCAAATACAATGTATTCATTACAATATACAATGTAGAGAAAACCAGTGGCCACATCGTGTTTCTCGCGAACTTTTACATAAGAATCAACAGTCAACTCGCAAATCCCTCACACATGCAACATTTCCATTGCTTTGGGCCTAAATATCGCATTAAGTATGTATCGTGAAAATTATTTCGATGCTCGAAATCCTTGATAAGGCAGGGAAGAGTAAATGGATTTTCTTTGACAAAATATTTGAGAAGTCAGGAAAGTTGAAATTCTATGGAACTTGTCGCCTCCTGTGAATATTGCGCTTTCTGAATTATTTTTTAAGGGGAAAAAGCGGAAACAATAAAAGTTACTTCAACGGTGCCGGGCTCCATCAAGAATTCCCAGGAAATACCGCGCAAAAATGTTTTCGTAGAGCTGAAGATTATAGTTTCTCTTCGCACATAGCACGAGAACTTATCTCGGTGATCTCGAGAGGCATTTGCTGCAGTCCTCCCCGCATTACGCTCATTTTCATTTTCCGAGAACAAAGAGGAAGTGAAATTAAATTTGCCCCCTTAAAAGGCTCGGCCAGCACCCTAAGATTCCTCGAGCCCCCTTTTTTCCGTCACCAAGTTGTTCGTCGGGAGATTCAGCTGGGCGCTTTTTAATTTTCAGCGAGCTCTATTGTGTCCCCGGGAACAACCAGAGCGGGGGAAACGAGGAAATGTGAAATTAGTTTGATTTCCTCCCGACTTGTCGCCAGACCCACCACGCGTGCGACTGTATGACGTTGTCGAATCTAAATCTGATCAACTTTCAAAGCTCCAGCCGAATGATTGTTGAAATTGACAGACTAAGCTATGGACAAAGAAGAACTAGGGAGTATGGAGCGATCCTATTGGTTGGACGGGTGGTTCGTATAGGCTAAGGGGATCTATGATAGACTAACTCCTCTCTTTCGAAGTTAGAAGTCCTCCTTTGTCTATTGCAACCACCCACGTCCACTAAGAGAATCGCTCCTTTTTCCAAGATAAAAAATTTGAACGATCCTTGAAAGAGTCATTAAATAAAAGTACGTTGCAGAGTTGTAAAACGTTAAGATATTAATTTCTCAAAGGCAAGCCTACAGGCATTACATAAAGTGGACTAAATAGGAGAAAAAAGGTAGAAATGATACATAAAAAAAATTTAGAAACTAGGTATTGCTTCCCACCACGCCGATTCCCATGAAGCAGTGCCGGTTTTTACCAATGGATACATTAGTAACATACCCGATGCAAAACGACGGGAAAGAGCGTACACTACTAACGTGGTGAACGCTCAAAATTGACTTTTCTTTCTATCTTTGGAGAAAAATCTTGTTTGCTAAGAGAATCCAAACTAAATTTAGAGAGAGCTCCAGGTTCTTATCAGATAATTTTTCCGCGAAAGTTAGGAAAAATCAAGACTTGAATTAAATGAATAATTTTAGACACTACGTTTAAAAATTACGTATGAAATCGCCAAGTGTTTCTAATAAGGCTCTTGTTTTCCCATAACGATGTTATTGTTATCACCGTAAACAAGGCAACAGGGCAAAGTTGTAAGCGCGATTAGCCCGTAGCAACCATGAGCGCGCCGTAGCGTTTTATTTTCGATAGCGCTTGCTTGCTGATAGGTGTGATTAAAAAAAAAGTACCGCGCGTACATGGGTTTTTTTTCACAGGAATAAGGCTCATTAAACCTTTTTACCACCCTTTATCGCCTTTTACAGCTCGCAACTTGAATCCGTTTTTATTAAATCCGAACTTAATTCTCCTAAAAATCTGAAATCCAAGAAGTGAGAATTGCGGTTCATAAGTGTCTCTCCTCTCCCTTCCCTTAAGAATTGAAGACGTGAGCTTGAGGGGATTTGAGTTTTTGATCGCGAAGAGTTGAATTGCATCCCAAAATCGGTTCGTTTTTCGACACCAACACCACTGTTGTCAGTATCTCCATCTCCCTGTAAGTATACACTGGAAAAAAAACATATTGGATCGAGAGTCCAGACTCTTAAAAATATCGACAAGAAAAAGTACTCTTGATTCAATCAGAATCTAGCTTAAATCAAGAACCAAGCCTCTTAATTTAAGCGGATTTCGTTTTGATTCAAGCAATAATCCGATTGAATCAGGAGTATTTTTTCTTGTCAATGTTTTCAAGAGTCTGGACTCAAGATCCTATGTGTTTTTTTTCCAGTGTACTCTCGCGCCTAGGTAATTTTTGGCCAGCCTGTTTTAAGCATGTGTAACGATGCGCATTTTATCCATGCTATCCATGTATGTTTAGCTTTTTATCAGCACTTATAGCTTTTTTTCTTTTTTTATGTGCAGGTGTTATTCGGACGCTAGCGCCACTAGATGCAGAATCAAAACCACATTATTGGCTCACCGTTTTCGCATACGATCATGGTGTGGTTCCACTCCATTCAAGACTCGAGGTAAGTTTCATTCACCAATCGATCGTCAATTTTTTCCCCCCTCAATTACACCAGTTATATCAATGTTAAGACGCATCGAATTCTACAGACTCGGTGTGAAGTCTGTTTGACATTCCAGGGAACCTGAAGAGTATCAAAAGACAAATTCAGGAAAATTTGAAATATAATTAGATTTCTCACGGATGGGTATAATGGATGGGTTGCTTGTTTCGGAAAGTTTCCAATTAAAATAAAAAATCAAAGTCGAGAAAATGAAATAAAAATCAGAGTAAAAATAAATAATAACAAATTTACCTAAAACCTTCAACGAGTTGAAAAGTATTATTTTCGCGCGGTATTCAGTTTCCGATTAGAGCCCCATGTCCGAAAATACGAAACTTGTCGGTTCTTCAGTAGAACACTATGAATGTTACGTGCTTAAATCTTGGGAGTTTAGTATTTTTTGAAACCGATAAAATTTGTGTCCATCTTTCCAATTTAAACTTAAAAAGCAAAAAATCAAATGAAAATAAAACATGCGCGTAGTCACATGTCAGCAATCAAAGAATGGAATTTCATTTAATTTCTTCCATATTCCGCACTGCTCGTTCCGAACTTCCGAAACGAATGCCTCAATCGACGAAGGAGTCGTATAGGCAACTATTCGAGCTCGTGGGAACGCGTGTGGTATAACCGCTCAATTGAAGGCGGACCGTGCTCCGTTCGACTCGCTCAACAACTCGGCTCCATTCGATTATCCCGCTGCCGGACGATACTACGCGAAACTAGTCCACATAATTTCTTGAAAACTACCTCGATTTTTTCTCTTTATCAGCAGAATATTCTGTTTAAAGAAGCAATGAAGTTGCCTTGTTTCTCCTCGAGAAAATAAAATAGAAACGAAAATTTTGAAACACTGTATTGGAGATACGTGGTTTCGCACTTTGAGCATCAATATGCTCTTCACGGTGGCATTGTATATTCATTTTTTCCCCCGAGAATTTCCCCACGGGCCCCATAGAGTCCCTGAGAGTCATGAGTTTGCCCGAATCTCGGGTCCTCGCGCGGAGCGAATCATGATTAACCTCTCATTGGCGGGAGTTTCAGACTGGAAGCTCCGCCTCGAGCCGAGCAGTCAGAAGGGATTTAACTGAAGTGTTTACACCTTGACAGATGAGAACGCTCCCGCTCTAAGGTAGAACGCCGTATACGCTTCCGAACGTTGCCAAATTTTCTTCGGGAAAATACGGATCTTATGGGAAACTCGTGTATACCGGGTGTCTAGCATCAGAATTTTCCCGATTTTCCCAATTCTATCAGGATTTGAGGTCAATTAGGATTTAACCCCGATTTCATCAGGATTTGAGGAAAAATCGGTCGTAAAATCGGGGTTTGAGAAAAGTCGGCCGTTCGATCGGATTTTTTCATCGAGCTATTTTTGTTAAGTTACATTCGCTCCGTAAAAAATCAGGCTGTAGAAAAATTATTAAATCAGGATTTAGTAGTAAAAAATCAGGATTTTCCAAAATGAAAAAAAAACTAGACATCTTGGAATGTTTTCCCCCCAATTTTTTCGAGGGTTACTTGGCGGTCTACAAAAACAATCTGAATCTATTTTTGGCGATTTTGAGATACCTGTGTTACGACACTCATGAAGAGGCTCTTTACGTAAGAACCAACGGAAAATACAAGCTGTAAGTTCTAAAATATACGTATACACAGAATAAAAAGGAGCTTAGCTCATAATTTTTATAGCTCATTCTAGAGTACCTACCTATAGAGAGAGTACGGACGTGTTGAAATATGGAGCTTTTAGGGCCCAAAGAATGACACTACCAATCTTCAGATTTCAACATCAAACCAAGACGGCCAAAAATGTTCATAAATGAGCGTTCTTCCGCAAAAATGAGTGAATTTATGCAAAAACTAAGTCAAATACATGCTTTACAAACAACGAGTCGTAACAATTCTAACAATAAACCACTCTGGATACTTTGAATCCACAGGTTGGCTGCCCCTTTGGACCCTAAAAGCTCCATGACCAAAAGCTCAAATTACCGACGTGTCCGTACTCTCCGTAAATAGGCATTCTACCGTGGATTATAGAAAAAATATATTTGTAAAATGTTAGCTCAGCATGTTCCTCAGTCTTTTTTTGATTAAAAACAAAATTGGCAAGGTGTGATATAGTCACGCTGATTCTGGCTGAAGCTGTCCAAATATTCCCAACTTTGTAAACTGATTGCGGTAAACACACAAGTAGTCGTATAGACAGTAAGTTGGAAATGTCGCCAACGTGCGTTCAAAGCCAGGAAACCGGCAGTGACTCCATACAGAGAGAAAAATTTCTTTGAAGGAAAATTGTGCTCGAATGAGCTTTTCATCTCTGTATCACTGAAAAAAAATATGGTAACAATTACTATGAGTCTACTTTATTTTTTACACAGTGATACTATTTAGTGAAAATAACCAGAATTATAGTAGTGTTCACCAGAACTCTGGTAATTTTTACCATAATATCGTAAATGCTATCATAGAGTTTGGTGTTTATTACCAAACTTGTATCACTGTGTATGGTAAAATCTAATACATTTTTTTTTCAGTGATTGAGTTTTCCCTTTTTCTGGCTTTTAACGCACGTTGGCGACATTTCCAACTTACTGTTTATTCCTAACTTCAATCAAAAATAAATATTTTATCGGGGAAAACGTCGCAACATTCGAATGACCATACGTCGTTTTTCCTCGACCTGGCAGAGCGAGGATCGGCCGCGATGCAAAATGATAAATGAGTCGAACCTCCCCCCCCCCTNCCCCCCTCCTCCCCCGGTCCTAGCCCAGCCGAACCTGGGAGCGCTCGGAATTCCCTTGATTTTCTCACGGGACTCAACTACGCTGAAGCTAAAATCAATTAAACCCGATTCGGGATTAAAAAGCTTTTCGAAGAATTAATCGCTCCCCGCGCACACGTTTACGCTGCATCGATATGTTCCGCATCTTTCTCGCGCAAAATATCGAATTTCGATGAATCGACCGTATTGCGAGTGTGCTCATAACTCGACTTCGTTGATTACCTGTCAGAATATCCCGGGGCGATCGTAAAAAGGTCAAGCACGCGTGTCCCTCGAGGGGACGACGGGTAGCCGCGAGCGGTTTGTTCGGGTCTAAATTAAGACGAATTTTTAAGACGCGTTCATTAATCGTTTATTCAAGCATCGATATTTTTAACCCCAGTTATTGAAATTAAGATCGCACGGTCTTTTTCGAGGAACATGCGTCAATTCAAAATTTCGGTGTAAAACTCGTAGCTCACGGGAGATGAATAGCTTTAATTGGACTACATTTTGCAATTTAGAACTATAAATTTTGCCCGGTTTAAAAACAACGTATGTTCCATTAGTTTCCCTATGCACATAAGTATTTTTACAGAAGAGCTAGAATTTACAGTTCCAAATTGCAAAATGCAGTCCAATTATAAGAATAGTATGTGCAATTCAAAAAGATTTAAAAACACGAATTCCTTACTCTTCAGTATATATTACGATTAAAATTTATGTACTAAATGTATTCATAATATTGAAAATTATTAGCTTTGCTTAACCTAGTTTTTAATTTAAAAGATATGTGGGCTGAAAAAGTATTTTAAAAATTTTCTTCCACATTAATCTGTGGTAAGAAATCTATCCTAAAACTACAGGCAAGTGATAGCAGCCGTCCCCTCCAAAAAAAAAAAACCTGAAATGACACCACATTTATAACCACCAAAAGGTAGCGGGAACGCTCCACAAGGAGGCTCCTGAAATGACGGAGCATGCATCCAATGAGCCCAGGTTTCATTTCGACGCAGCTTTATTTAAAGCGCTGAATTATTGTGATAGTCGCT